AAGTCCCCCATACATACCCAGGGTAGGTTACATCCATTCTTCAGACCTCGCAGAAGTTCCCAGGATTGAAACCTTTCATCTCTGTTTGCCCATCCATAAAATCCAGTAAATCTCCATCTTTCATTGTCATCATCTGCGGAAACAGTTACGTCAATATGGTGCATGGAAGCACCAAGCTTTGTGACTAGAACCTCGTCAGACCAAAACAGACAAAGTCCCCCCGCCTTCCAACCTCTGGAGCAACTCGCAGCAACCCCAACTCCCCCCGAGAATCCCAGCTCTTTTTGAACTTCTTTCCAACCTTTTTCGTCTTTCCGGGTTTCCATCAGAAACAAAACGTGAGGATTATGTTTACGGACCAGCTTCTTGAGCTTTGCAACTGCCAGGGTGCTGCCCAAACCCCGACAGTTGTAGCTTAATATTTTCATTGAGCTGGGCGGCCTTGCTCCTCGGCAAGGACCGCCTCTTCGCCATCCATAATAGGGTTAGAGTTTGATTTTGGACGTTTCTCCATCAGGGGCACCAAATCCACGTCCATATCATCTGGTGTCCCACGCTTGCCTATTGTCATATTCTGAGCTTGAACAGCTGTTGGAAGTGGGGATCTTTCGTATCTGATCCATTTTTTGCCACTAATCTTCTTTTTTCCCTCTTCAGGATCCTTCTCTGTAGTCCCCTTCGAAGGGGGTTCTTTCTCGACTTCCTCTGTTTTCTCTTCCCCTGCTAGCTCACCTCCATCCCTTGATTCCGTAATAGCCAAAACAGTACCAACATAGTGATCGTCTGAGCTTCCCATCTGTAGTCTTTTGGTAGCCTCTTTATCATACTCCTGTGTGTCTAGCATCTTTTCTGGGTTAACTTCGACCTGTGCTCCCCCATCTCCTCCCTTCTTTCTTATATCTTCCTTTTCAGCTTTCCCAGCTTGTAGCGATTTTGCAGCTTTCACTTCTTCCCACAGCCTAGCAAGTTGTTGAGTCTTACCTTTCTCCTTTATCGGAATTCTTTTCAGTGGCGATTCAGCTCTAAGCCAGCTTCCATACGGGTCTTCTATACTTGCTTCCAGCTCCTCCCTTTTACTACATGCTTTTTTGAGATGTCCCAGTACCCCGCAACCAAAGCAGTACGTAGGCAGCCTCTCGTACCCCACCTTGAAAGAGATAGGGCCATTGTTTCCCTGTAATTTTACCACTCTTCGAAGTGGTTTAGAAATGACAATAGAGACTCTGATTCTCAAGTATTCACTATGGATTCCCGAGTGCAGCTCATCCCACCTAATGAACTCACCGAACATCTTACCAATCTTCTCTGCCATCTGTAGGTTTCTGAGATTCAGGGGAAACTTCCTTATACGAACCCAAAAATCTGCCTTCGAAAAGTCAATGCTTTCTATATCCATATCAGGGGGAACTTCTTTGAATATAAGGAGTTGTCTATCCAGATGCCACGGGCCGCCATACAGGATCCTATTCTTGTCTTCAAAGCAATAAGTTTGTATTTTCAACCTGCCTTCTTTTGTCACTTGTAAGTCAAAGTCTTTTTTAAGTCTCCAGGCTTCGCACAGGATTCTCCTCAGGACTTTTGTAGGGGGTAGACTCCCTGTCACCAGCTTTCCCACTACTCCAAGCTCTTTTATCACCTCTTCCACGCCTTCATTCATGACAGTTTCATCAATACTTATAATAGCTTCTTCATCTTCCGTAAGATCAACCCCCGAAAGCTTTAAGGCTAACTCATCTTCCATTTTCCAGGGGAATACGAACAGTCACTCAAGCACCAGAGAAACTGACGATGGACCAAAGCACCAGCAGGGCAGGAACACAAAGAAGCCAACCAGGGATCAGAAGAAAGATGCCCACACCAGAGAAAGCAGAATCAAAGAGACGAAACGCGAGAGGAGAGAATCAGAAAGGACACCAAGAGCTACCCTCCAGGCCAACCGGAAGATGAAACGTCACACTGAGGACAGTGAGAGTACAGACAGAAGCTCTCTAGAGACAGAGAGAAAAAACTCAAGTTAAATCGGTCGCCTTTGGTTCTGGGGTTTTTGGGATATGTCATGTATGCATTAGGCGTGACGTTTGGAAGCTGTTTATATTGGGCCCAGGCCCAACATGCCACGCCATTGATAACCTCTTAGAGAATGGTCTAACACAGTAACAGTCAACGTTGTCAAACCGCGGGTCGATCCGGACCCGGATGAGCTAGTGGGTCATGGATCAACGGGTCACCCGTTTTAGCTCGGTTTAGCCCGAAAATATGGAAAATGTAATTATATTATACTTATCCTGAATCCAACATTAAAAAATGCAACACTACTTCAAACTCCAACACACTTAAATAACATCGACTTAAATTCAACATAGTAAAAATTCAACAACACTTAAATCATTCACAAAACATCACATATATCTTTCGTTCCATTTATCGGAACCAAATCCCATACCCTTACCAAATGACTATGACTCAGGGAACTAAAGGTAATGGAGAGGCTCGGTTCGCAAATAATGGAAAAGAAAAGACAATGAGAAGATGGTCTCCTCCGGCGAAGGAATTGGTGACCGACAATGAGAAGGGTGGAGGCACAGGTGGCCGAGGCGGAGGCCGAGCAGAGGCGGCGATCAGGAGCGGCCGAGCTGAAGGGAGGGGAGACGGAACGGTGGCGGCCGACCTGGGAAGATGATTCTCTCCGCCGGCGACCCGGAGCGCGCCGCCGAAGAACCCTGGCGTGGCGATATCGATCGGCTGTGGGAGAGGGAGATGGTTGCGCTGCTGGAAATGGAATGCTATGTATGTTTGTAGGGTTTTGGTTTCCAGACGACCAGCAGGCCAACATCAAGCAGAACGGCGCCGCTTCCCCTCCTCGTTTGCTCTCCGTGCAGTCCGCAGAAATGGCAACGCAGCGGCCAAAACGGGGCTCAGGAAGAGCAACCCGCTGACCCGCTCCAACGGGCTAACAGGCCGGGTCAACTCGGGTTTGACCAGGTTTCTCCGGGTTTGACTATTTCCGGGCTGACATGAAAATGGGTTGGTATGGCCCGTTTTTTTGGCCGGGTCTGGGTTAATCCGGGTCTACTCGACAACCTTGGTAACAGTACACATCTCGGCTGCAGATCTAACATGCCACGTCATATGGTGCATAACTTGCATACAAGATCTGGACTCTCCAGATCTAAGGGTTGATAATTAAAAATATTTTGATTTCATAATAGATTATTATCTTTCTTATTTTAATTTGATTTTAATTTTTTTTTGCAGATAAAACGAGTTCATTGTGCTTTACAAAATAAGATTTATTTCTAATTTTTTTAGGAAAAAAACCGAATACTTCTTGTTACCAACTCTATACCATATGCCATATGGTATCTCATTTATTTTTAAGTAATTTTTGAAAATATTTGCGCAGAAGGAACGAGTTAATCATGATTTATTGGATCTTCAGATTTCTGGGAGAAAAAAATACAAGACGAAGAAATACCACCCTGATATAGGGTTGGTATCTTGTGGTACACAATGTTGAAAGTCGTAAATGACAGTTAGTTTATTTCTACTATCATGTATGCAACCATCCTGCAATCTCGTATGTTCTTACCACCATGGTACACTTTCATAACATATGTTGTGCTCTTATTTAATACCATATGGTATAGAATAGTAATAAATGTCTCGAGTTTTTTTTCCAAAAAATATATCAAAGTGGATATCATTTGAAGAACACAATTAATTTAATTTATCTGTGAAAAAAAAATTGACTTCATACAAGAGAGAAATCGCCAGTTAAAAATTAAAGGGGAAAGTCAGAAAATGAAGAGCTCAAGATTTTGAGATCTCTTTACCAAACCCTAGCAATTCCTTTTTCTTCTTATGGTATCTTAGCATAATTGCTCAAATTTTAGATCTCGACTCTTCCTTTCTCTTTTAGAACTTTGATTTAGTTTTCTTGCAAGCTTGCAATGTCTGGCCAAGCTTCTGGGCAAGATGGGTTTGTTTCAAACGATGGGAGAAACTCTGACAGTTGAGTTTGGCTTACAATTGGCACGTCAACATCAGCTAGCCTAACCCATTGTGGAAATCAACTGTCAAGTTGTGGTAAACAACTTGAAAGCGCCGAAGAAGGTCCAAACTGTTGAGGGAAGCTTGTCAATAGCAAAGAGGGAAAGAATTGAAGAAATCAATCAGAATAAAAAGAGGCAATTCTCAAGAAGGAAAGATGCAGCCAATCATGGAATCAAAACAAAATCATCTCCAACGGCTAGAAGCAGAACAAAGGAATGCAGCCAATAGCTAGGAGAGTGCTGATGATGGAGGAAGGCCGGGAAGCAGTTAGTCTTTTGCTGCTTCCGCCGGCAGCCGAGCTGCAATAGTTCTCGGTGGCCATGGCTAGCTGTAGACGGCGGGCTCAATTGGGAGAAGAAAACAGAGAGCCGAATGAGGCACAGAAATCCCTAATCCTTCAATTAAATTACAAACTTATTTGTAAGCCTTTTCCTAATCGAAATATGTCATGTATGCATTAGGATTTAGGCGTAACGTTTGGAAGCTGTTTTATATTGGGCCCAGGCCCAACATGCCACGCCATCTCTAGAGAATGGTGCATACCTTGCATACAAGATCTAGGGTTGTTAATTAATTTAGGGTAAATACAATTTATTAGCCAAATTTTTCGTTTTAAACAAAATAATAGCCAAACTTTTTCAAAATCAATTTATTAGTCAAATCGTTAACTTTTCATCCGGTCAATCGTTAGTTGACTCTGATGTGGCAAACTATTAAATAAGATGGATGGTTTTTGATAATGTGGCAAACAATCAAATGTTTGACTATGCCATATGGATATAAGATCATATTTGCAAACAATTTTTATTTTTTGAAAAATGAATACAATAAAAGTATATAAATAATAATAGTCAAATTACAAAATAAAAAAGAAGATTTTCCTTCCTCTCTCTTCGTCGCAATACATTCAAGAAATGGTTGGCTTCTACTATGATTCACGAGGTTGTTTAATTACTTGTTGGTGGTGGAAGCCAGCAACTATAACTTCCGTTGTACGCATTTCGCAACTTCTCGCAGCTCGCAATCAAACTAGGCCAGAAAGCAACCATGGGTTTGAACACCCTGTCGTCTTGAGGAATAAAGTACTTTGGTTCATCATCATCTTGATAAGTGACGAATTCCAACTCGCTGTTTCTAAAATTCCATGACAAAATAGCTGCCGATTCTCGAGAATTCGGATGAAAAGCCGACAAAAACACGATCTCCGGCTTTTCAGGATGCATACCAACCGCTCTACCGAACCTCAAATCCAGCGTCTCGATCTCGCTGTCGCTGCCGTCGTCGTCGCTGGACTTGCGAGTACAACTCAAGTCGTTAGACCACAAGACTTCATACTCTTTCCTCCAACATCCTCCTCCCTTCCCGTCCTCCACCAGTCTCCAAACACTCAGCATCGAAGACGTCGATTCTTTGCAAACCATGTGCACAGCACCTTCTGAGATCCAGGGACCGTAGCAACGCATTTGTGAATCGAGCTGGCAGCCCTCCAACAACATTGGAAACGTAGTACCGTAGTCCCGACGGAAAGGATCCCACTTCACTACAACTCCTCGCACTAGCATACCAATCAGCCAGTAAAACTTTCCATTGGTCGAAACTACACGTTCATAAGCTGTGCAACCCCAACACCTTAAATTGGCATCGAGAGTAAGAACAGATTTCGTCCAACGTCCGGATCTCGAACAGAACACGTACACATCTACTTTCGCTGGACCTCCTCGTACCGTCATCGGATTATACATTCGCACCACCCGGAATTCATCGAACGGCTCGCAGACTAGTTTCACGACCCATCTATAGCGGCTATACCTGGCGGCCATTTTAGGCGCCAGAGGAAGGGCGACCCATTGCTTCGTAAACGGATTGCAGACCAAGTGCGTCCTGCGCAGTTCCTGTTCGGACGTCTCCGGCCCCCAGAACCCGAGTAAGAGCAAGTCCTTGACCGAATCGAGGACGGAGAACTTGAATTCGGTACCGTAAGGGAAAGGGAGAAAGCTCGAGATCAATTGACGGATTTGTGAGATTGCAAGGACGGGCTGTTCGGATTCGTTCTGGGCGGCGGCGGCGGGGGACTTGGTTTGGTGGTGAGAAACGAAGCGGCGAGAGAAATAGGGAGCGGAGATTAGAGCATTCCAGCGTCTGCAGACGGATTTGCATCGAATGGCGGATTTGGGGCTCGGGAGTCGAATCAGAATTTCGACTAAGAGATCTTCATCGTCTCCGAGAGTGCTGATGATGGATGAAGGGGAAGCGGTAAGTCTTTTGCTGCGTCCGCAGCTCTGGGCGGCCATGGCTAGATGTAGACGGCGAGATCAATTGGGAGAAGAAAACAGAGAGCCGAATGAGGTACAGAAATCCTGAATTCTTTTGCGTTCTCCTAATCGAAATCTGTTGAGCATGCATTAGGAGTAGTTACGTTTGGCTGCTATTTATATTGGGCCCAGGCCCAACATCCTAGTCAGAATGGAAAAAGTACAAGAATCCGTTTGTTGATGGAAGAGCTGGCCATCACAGGGATCGACAACTCGGGCATTTCCGTCAACCACAAATTATGAAGACTAGTAAAAACTCGTTCGTTATTGCTTCCCGTAGAAGAAAAATAATTTTTTGAAAGAGTAATAATTTTTTTTTATGAATCGGTGGGGTCTTCATTCATCAAAGAGAGGTGTTAGCAACTGCCTTGCTAACTAGGCTTTCCAACCAAAAAGGTGGTTACAGTATTACAACGGAAAAAAAAAATATATCAAAACCGAGCCTCTGAGACAAACTAGTTGATCCAAAATAAGGAAACCCTCTGCAAACCCAGAGCACACTCAACCTCAGCCTGAATAGTTTTCATCAGAACCTGGTATTCCTTGGCATTCCCTGTATACAAACGTCTGCATCTCTCTCTCCAAACATGACTCACCCAAGCCTGCCAGATGAGGCGCCCTGATTCAGCAGTTTCCGTCGATACACCAAGCTTCATAGTCATGAACGATATCAACTCCTCCCAGCTATGCACCACATGGAGCTGAAAAAAATATGCAGAAAAGATCAACAAACAACTGCTTCGAGAATGAACATTGAACATATAAATGCTCCCTATCCTCTATCCCTGAGTTGCAAAGACAACAAGACAGGTCACCCGAGAAGCCCCACTTCAGCATCCTCCGCGTTGTGTTGATGCTCTCCCTAACCACCAGCCATGTAACTACTCAATTTCTGGGAATGGCAACACCTTTCCAAAGAATTTTCCACCAAGAGACACGTTGCTGATAAAGACGAATAAGTTTCCAAACCTTTTTAATTGAGTACTGAGGCATAGGAGCATTATCCATCAACATGACATCATTTCGAACACATATTAGTGTTGCCACCCTGCTCCTTAGCTTCAGAAGTTTTCTCCAATTCCAGGAACCAGATGAACATGAATAAGACCAGATATCTTGTCCTTTCAGTTTATAACGATTGATCCAAGCAACCCAGAGAGAACTTTCCCGTAATAAGATTAACCAGAGATGCCGAATCATTCAAGCCTAGTTCCAGCTGTGCATATCCCTAAAACCAAGGCCCCCCTCTTTCTTAGAGTAAGCAAGCTTCTGCCAAACAACATTAGCCCTAAGCTTCACCCCACTTCCAACTCCCCAAACAAACTTACTACATATCCTCTCAACTTCTTTGATTACAGCCTTTGGGAGCATAAACACAGACATCCAAAATTGAGTGATGCTATATAGAACAGTACCAACAAGTTCAACTCTCCATGCATATGAGAGAGCTTTTGCTTGCCAACTCTTAACTCGAGCAAGGAGTTTATCAATGAGAGGTCTGCAGGCAGCTACACTTAGCTTTCCAGAGATTAATGGAACTCCTAGATAGCGAACAGGGAAGTCACCAAGTTGGTAACCAAACCTATTAGCCCTCATTTTCCTGTCTCTTCGTTTACCAGGTCCTCGTCGTCAAAAAAGCCTGCATCGTCCACCATGATAGCATCACCACCATTCTCCGTCTCTTCAACGCATCGTCATTGCATATGTATGGGACGTTCAAGTCGACCCCAAACAAACCAAGTTGTTCAGCTCCGACACCATCTACGCCGGCCTCGTGGTCCATGTTGCCGTCCATTGTAATCCGACAGCAGCGTGAAGGGATTGCCAACGAATTACTGCCGGCGGTTATGGAAGGGGAAGATTCCAGGAATGGAAACATGCGCGAGATGTGGTTATGGTTAGTATCAATCCATCCCACAAATCACGCTCCCTATGCATTTATTTTTAATTTTCCAAATCAATCCCATAAAACTAGTTACACAAAAGCCCTTTCTCTTTTCTGAACCATCGGATGTGAAAAGGCCATCTACGGCGGGGAAGGGGGAAGCGAAAATCACAACCCCATAAGGGGAAGTGACGCTATCCCACCCCCATGAAAGCACAAACTTATGATTTATAATAAGTTATATAACTTGAGGAACCAATAATAATTAGAGAGGTTGCCTTGGTGTCCTAACATAGAAAACAGGTTCAATTTGTTGGACAAATCTAGATTTTAGAGTATCAGTTATGTAACCATATGGGAAAATCAGGTATCTTATATCTTAAAAGACTTACGTAACAATCCTCACTCCTCTACATCAAGAAAGAATACTAATCCTTCCTCTTGTTCTAACTCCCTGGGAACAAAATGATCCCAAATTTTTGTTCTTTCTTTCAAAGACTGAGAAAGTTCATGACTTATGAGTTATGATCCACTGATGACTTTCAAGTCCAAGGCAAGTCGGTGTCATCCTCCTAGTCCAACGCTACCAATGTTGCTTTTCAAATCCTATAGAGAAAAATTGTGAAGAAGATGGAAAATAGTAAACCTAACTATGTACAGAAATGAAACAAACATACTGCATGTCTTCTAGTTAACTTTGATGTTCCCATAGTCGTTCAACCAATGCAGAGTGTATAGTTGAGGATCCTTGATTGTTGCCCAATCCCAGGTCTTGACTGCATCCAGGCTAATCACATTGGTGTGGCGAAAGTGTGATTTGATCGCCCACCAATTTTTCTGCTTCATCAACTTAGACTGGATGATGTAACAGTTTGGTATGATTATTAAAGCCGAGCGCGGGTTTCTATAAAAAAAAAAAGAGCCGTAAAAAATTTCTCTCGGCTGTATGAAGAATTTGAATATTTAAACATGGTAACTTCGCCCGCCATCCCTATTCCCTAGCCCTCCCGCAAACGCAATCCCGCCCGCCATCCCTATTCCCTATTCTCTCATTTCAACCTAAATTTGGCTTCACAACAGTAGTACTGTTTTGGTGACGTGAAATCAAACGATCAGCGGCGGCGCCTTCTAATGGTTTTAGTCAATCCGCGTGCCACGTGACGGAATCATAGATCATGCACGAGTAATTAAATTCATGCATGCATGTTTTCGTTTTTCGAGTTATATATATAAACCCTGCATTTATGCCTTGCCTTTAAGACATACGCACCAGGTCCAAAATGGCGTACTATCAACTACTCCTCCTCCTCTTCCCAATCTCCATCACCGTTCTCGCCGTCATAATCGCTTCCCGATTTCTCGCCGCCCCTTCATCTTCCAAAAAACCGCTTCCTCCGGGTCCAAAACCATGGCCGATCATCGGAAACCTCCCTCACATGGGGAGAAAACCTCACATCTCCTTCCGAAACTTGTCCAACATCTACGGCCCTCTCATATCCCTCCGCCTCGGCTCACAGCTCCTCGTCGTCGTCTCTTCCCCGGCCGCCGCCGCCGAGGTCTTGAAAACACACGACCGCCTCTTTTCAGGAAGATACGTCCCCAGAGCGCTGCCTTACGACACGGCGGAGCTCGACCGCAAGGCGGTCGTGTGGGCGACAAACTGCAACGACCAATGGAAGGCCTTTCGAACCATGTTTCGAAACGAGATCTTCTCGGCTAAGGCCATTGAATCTCAGGCAGCCGTCAGAGAGAAGAAGGTTGCCGAGATGGTGGAATTTTTCGGTGGGAATTTAGGGGAATCGGTTTGTATCAGGGAAGTGGTTTTCGCTACTATATTTGATATGTTGTCCAATCTCATGTTTTCGCGAGATTTCATCGGGTTTGAAAGGAACGAGACCGCGAATAGACTGAAATCACTGATTCAGAGGTTGATAGAATTGGGGGTTTCCCCCAATCTCGCCGATTTTTTTCCGGTTATGAAGAATTTGGATCCTCAGGGTCTGAGACGCGAGGCAACTCGCCGTTGCAACGAGCTCTACTCTCTTTGGCAACGTGACGTCAAAGAGAGGAGAGAGCGCGGCGGGGAGAGAGAGCGATCTGATGATACTAAAGATTTTTTGGATATTCTTCTGGAAAATGGACTCGATGATGACCAAGTTGACTGGTTGAGTCTCGTAAGTTTTTTTTTTTTTAAATATCAATTCGATTTTATGGTTTACGCTAACAAGTTCAGTTTTAGCTTAGCTTTTTTCTGTTTTTTTTTTTTAGGAATTGTTCACGGCTGGAACGGACACTAACACGGCTACAATAGAATGGGCGATGACAGAGTTGATTCGAAATAGGGGAGTGATGAATAAGTTGCGGGAGGAGCTAAAGAGAGAAGTGTTGCCACTCATATCGGGGAAACCGTTGATTGACGAAGCTATGGCGGCTCGGCTTCCTTATTTGAATGCAATCGTGAAGGAGACGCTGAGACTACATCCGCCGGTGTCGTTGCTGCCGCCTCACCGAGCTTCAGAATCTTGCGAGCTATTGAATTACACAATCCCAGAGGGGGCTTATATTACAGTCAACGTGTGGGCAATAGGGAGGGATCCAACGGTGTGGGATGATGATCCAGGGACGTTTAAGCCCGAGAGGTTTATCGGGTCAAAGACTGATTTTAGAGCGCAACATTTTGAGTTGGTGCCATTTGGTGGTGGGAGGAGGATGTGCCCAGGGATGCCATTGTCTGCAAGGCTGATTCCACTAGTTTTGGCTGCTTTGGTTCGTAACTTCGATTGGTGTCTTCCCAACGAAGTAGATCCGGCAAAGTTGGATATGAGTGAGAAATTCGGGTTGGCATTGCAAAAGGAACTTCCTCTTCGTCTGATTCCCCGTCAGAGTTTATTTTAAGTCCTTTGATGTTGCTCTTGGAACTCAGAGTTCGTTCATGTAGTCACACACCAACCAAGTTCCGATGGAGCTCCGATAAAATTCCGAGGATAATTTTTTAAGTTAATTTTTCCTTAATCATTAAGTGTTTAATAACTAAGAATTTTTGTTACTATTTGTATTTGGTAGAATAATTAGTTAGTTGCTAAGAACGTATTGGTTATAATGTGTTAGTCAATATTTGTTAGAACTTGTAAGGAATATAGTTATAATCTGTAATGGATATTGTTAGAATATATAAGGAATATTATTATAATGTAGAAGAAATATTGTTATAACATATAATGAATATTTTTAGAACTTGTAACGAGTATTGTTACAATGTGTAACAAATATTATTAGAATAAAATACTTAATTAATTTTGCTAAGAATGTATTAGTTGGAACATGTTAATTAAAGAATGTATATACTAAATAAGAGAATGCATGTGCTAATTAAAGAACGTATATATTAGTGGCTAATTAATATTCAATGTTATTAGTTAGTAGATGGCAAACGATGATCCAAGATGTTACAGCAACTATAGTCGTCTGCAATTATCCTGAAATATTCATAACTAACTACATTTTTAATTTACGAATATTTGATCCTCCAACATATATATGTAGGTTCTCCCTCGGGAGCTGTTCAATTTGGTTTTTCCTGCTTTCCCCGCAAAGCAAGGAAGGTTTTTTTCGACTTTTTCTATCTCAATAATTATACTCGGTGCATGAGCTACTATGGGCTTCTCACCTGCACATTTCTGTTTTTTTACTCCTCCGACAGCCCACTAATATTTTAGAACTTTATAATTAAAAATAAATATAAAACTTAGTCCATCAAAGTGCATGCAATTATATCATATGAACAAAGTTCCTTATGGTTTTCAATTTAACAATTCACAAAGTCATTTTTTATGCAACAATAACCAATATGTTTAGCATGATCTAACAAATTTTTTTGTCTAAAATTTAATTTCTAATGGATTAGACTATTATTAATATCATTGCTTTCTTCTAATAGACGCATGCAAATTCTGAACATTTATTAAAAAGTTTGAGCCTCTAGGGAAGAATGTAAAGCATTTTTCAGTGTGTAATAAGTAAATAAATAATTGTACACTTTTTGAGAATTTCAAAGTTACTCGAAAAAAATCATTAATAGATTGATTTCGAAAAAATGTTTATTCATTTCAAATGATCTATTGATCTCCAACTATGTAAGAATACCAGCTTATAGGTATAATTTTTAATTTAAAATTACATGATTTTGTTAAAGTTCTAATTCTCAATTCAGGTACATAAAATGCATTGTAAAGATAATTTTGCGAACCACAACCATTACCCAATCCATTAATTTGTAATGGATGAGACAATTACTAATATTATTGCTTTCTTCTATAAAGTGCGTGCAAATTCTAAACATTTATTAAAAAAAATTGAGCCTTTAGGGAAGAAAGTAAAGCATTTTCCGGTCTGTAACAAGTAAATAAATAATTGTACACTTTTGGAGAATTTCAAACTTACTCGGGGAAAAATCAATAATTGATTGATTTCAAAAAAATGTTTATTAATTTTAAATAATCATTTGATGTCCAATTATGTGACAATATTAGCTTATAGGTATAATTTTAATTTTAAATTGCATGATTTTGTTAAAGTTCTAAGTCTCAATTCAGGTACACAAAATGCATTATAAATATAACTTTGTGAACCATAACCATTACCCAATTCGATAAAATTCTTGCCAAAGTTATTGGTGTTATGTTCAACTTGGCCATTGCATTCCTCTGTCTTTGAACGTACGCACAAATTTTGTATTTTATTAGTTTTATTATTTGAGATGTTAATATTCTCTATCGGTGATTGACCAATTTTGTGAGTGAAAATATATTAACTTGAATTGAAGCTATCTTGGTGCTACGGCCTAATATTGATATTCCTGAAGTAATTGAATTGCACTTACAGTAACATTTATTTTATTTTATAAGGGTCACTTATAGTAACATTCTTATACATTAAAAAATCTTTCTAATTATGTTGAAATTTAAAAATACATCTTGCATAAGTTTATTTTGATGATTTTATGATTAAAATGAGATCAAGCTCCTATGGTGGCTTCAGAAAAGACTATTCAATATCCCTACTATTACATCACAAGAACTTAATGAATTTAATTGAAAAATTGCGAATAACGTAAATATCAGTTTGAATCTAACGATTGATTAAGATATAAATCCTAATTATTTTTATTTTTTCTTTAGGATAATTTTATTTTTATCAAATGATAAGTCAAACAATTTCAGAATCTTTTGTGGTTTATGCATAAAATAGAACCTGTCAAATAGAATGAAAGAAGAGTTGGATGAGTTCATTTTTGAGAATGGACTAGCAACATCAAACACTATAGTTGTTAGATGATAATTTGCCTATCCTCTCTCATTTTATGTATGCGGAATTTAGTAAATTTAAGAATCATCCTCACTAAAGCTTATATTGCTCTTCTAAATAATGAATTCCAATTATCAACATTTTTCATATTTAAGAATCAATTCGAATGGTAGATACTACCCAATCAATTACTATGTTTTTCATATTTAAGTTCCAAGTTGAGTTTTGGATACTACCAAATATAAGTTTGTTGTCTTTGGCCATCAAGAATTCGGATTTTAGAGTTAGTGAAGGAATGTAGTATTTAAGAAAAAAGAATTGAGGTAGAAGTTCCAAGTTTAGCTATTACTGATTATGACATCACAAAAATCCCGTAACTTGGTTTACAATTTCGAAGATAATCAATGATGGAAAAAAATTAACTTCCAACATCATTTGTGATTAAAATGATGTGTAAATTGTCATGAAAATTACATTTCATATATGATTATGTTTTGTGTATGAATTAGAAGCGTCTATTGATGATGAAGATAGTGGAGTTAATGATGAAGATTCTTGATGTTAAAACCGATTACGTAGGTATACCTACAATATTGTGACATTAAGTTTAATATGAGTTAATATACCCTTACATAATCCTACTTTTTGAATTTCAATAAGAATCAACATAGAAGGAAAATGTTAATAACCTTTACAATGGATACTCATTTGCAACAATTGAATATATTTTTGACTTTCGTAGTAGGAAAAACTAGAAAACTAAATTGCTATCTATTTTGTAAAATTGATACCATTGTTTGTTAATTCACATGATATTGACATATAATCATGACAAGAATACAAGAGAAAAGGAGATTAATCAAATTTAAACTTTAAAACTTTATTAATTACGATTATTATATTGCAACCGGCCAACGGGCCGGGGTACAATCTAGTTACTATTATAGGAAATAATTTACTTAACTTCATGTTAGAAAAAACAATCACGCCTAGCACTCGCTGCCAACTACACTACTAACAAAGGTAAAGTGTAACGAATGAAAATGACTGCAATATAGTGGTACAAGCAATAAAATAATCATATCATTGGGTCTCTAGACTTACTATTACTGCACCTCATATTATTATTTAGTAGATAAGAATTTCATATTGAATAACTATACTGCTTGGCAAATATACTAAAGTTGGACTACTAATTACAGATTGGTACCTCACTCAGGTATTGATTCCTTCTAGCCACTAGCCGGACTAATGATTGATGATTTTCTAACTTATTCCACTCTTCATTCATAATGCAGAAATTCCTTGACTCAGCCTTGAATCTCGAATTCTCTATCAAAACAATCAAGACCCTCTTGAGTTGGTTGCTTAGAGGGACGCAACTTTCACTAAAACAACCGATCAAGGCGTTCTACACTAGAATCACTCTATTGGGTGAGGTTCTCACTCAATACAAAGTATTGAATCAACTCACCATCGTGCACGAATTGATTCCCTACTTTCAATCTATGATGCTCTATTGATCTAATCAGGTATTTCCTCTCATAGCATCAAAGCAGAATCAACAATCTAAATTAAAGCATAATGAACATGAATCATGAAAAGAAGTTTATCTGCCAAACGTTTCTCTTCACTTACTTGTACCCATGGTTAATGTAAAGAAGTTTATGCAATAGTTTTCATCGTTTATTGTTCCTCATATATATTATGAAGATTCTTTATATACATGGTAGTCACATATAAGGAAAATTATCCATTCATTAGAGGCAAATAATGGCTACGAACTTATATAAAGGAAATGTAATTGCTTGATAAAATTAATTTTAGAATAAAAATCATATAATATATGCCACTATATGACTATAGCCAGCGGAGTATTTGAGGTAAAAGTATAATATGCCGATCCAAACATATACAGAAGCAACTTAATCCAATCAACTGTAGTCTATAAAAAGACTAGAGAACTGCTTCAGTTTCAAAACATAGCCGATCCAAACATATATAATATAACTCTCATAGAGTAAGAGACTAAATGTGAACAAGAGCCGCGAGGTTGATTAATTACCTCGTGAGGGAATCCAACAATCATAACTTCCATTATATGGATTTTGCAACATTGCAATCAAACTAGGCCAAAATGGGACTGTGGGTTGGATCATCTTGTCAGCATCCGTAGCTTGATGAGTGACGAATTCGAACTCGCGGTCTCTAAAATTCAACGACAAAATAATCGGTTTTGAATCTTTAAGACGATAACCCAACAAAAACACGATTCCCGACTTCTGAGGATGTAGACCCACCACGATACCCGAATTCTGAGGATATAGACGATAACCCAACAAAACCACGCTTCCGAACCTACAACTCAAGTTGTTAGACCACGAGAAGTCATACAGTTTGCTCCAACATCCTCCCTTTCCTTCCTCCATCAATCTCCAAACACTCAGCACCGCATAAGACGATTTCCTGCAAACTATGTGCACAGCACCTTCTGAGACCCAAGGACCGTAGCAAGTGGATTCCGAATCGAGCTTGCAGCCCTCTAACAACATTGGAAACCTAGTACCATAGTCGTCCTGGCAGAAAGGATCCCATTTTACAACTCCTCCCTTGTCATTCAGCCAGTACAACTTCCCATTGGTTGAAACTACACGACGATGATGCTCGTGATCATTCGTCCAACACCTCAAATCGGGCTCGAGGCGAAGGACGGATTTCGTCCATCGTCCGGATCTCGAACAAAACATGTACACATCCACTTTTGCTGCACCTTCTCGCATCGGATCATACATTCGCACCACCCGAAATCCACGAGGTAACTCGTGGGAGGAGTCAAACGGTTCGCGGACTAATTTCACGATCCATCTATAATGACTCAACCTGACGGCCATTTTAGGCGCCAGAGGAAGGGCGACCCATTGCTTCGTAAACGGATTGCAGACCAAGTGCGTCCTGCGCAGTTCCTGCTCGGTCGGGTCCTTCCCCCAGAACCCGAGTAAGAGCAAGTCGTTGACCGAATCGAGGACGGAGAACTCGAATTCGGTCCCGTCAGGGAAAGGGAGGAAGCTCGAGATCAGTGGACGGACTTGCGAGGGAGTCAGGACAGGCTGTTCGAATTCGACTGCCGCAGCCGCGGCGGCGGGGGAGAGGCTCTGGTGGTGAGAAACGAAACGGCGAGAGAAGTAGGGAGCGGAGATTAGTGCGTTCCAGCGTCTGCAGACGGATTTGCATCGGAAGGCGGATTTAGGGCCCGGGAGTCGAATCAGAATTTCGACGAGGAGATCGTCATCGACTCCGAGAGTGCTGATTATGGAGGAAGGCCGGGAAGCAGTTAGTCTTTTGCTGCTATAGTTGTCGGTGGCCATGGCTAGCTGTAGACGGCGAGCTCAATTGGGAGAAGAATACAGAGAGGCGGAGAAAACCCTAATCCTTTTTGCGTTCTCCTAATCGAAATATATGTCGTGCATGCATTAGGCGTAGTTACGTAATTGGCTGCTATTTATATTGGGCCCGGGCCCAACATCCTAGTCATAATGGAAGACCACATCCTAGTCATAGTGGAAAACGACAAAGACCCGTTTGTTGATTTTTTTTTTAGGAAGAGCTGAAGCTAATCAATTTTCTCTGTAAATATTAAATAACGTTATTTTTTTCTACCAAAAAAAATAACGTTATTTTTGGCTGATAAGACGGGTTGGATCATGCTCTTCTTCAGTAGAAAACTTAAGAAATTTTTTAAAATTTGTTTCGGCTAATAAGAAAATGAGAGAGAAGGGATAAGTCTATCCCTAAAAAATGGCAATTAATATATTATAAACAAACATTTCATGTAATTAAAAAAAATGAAATTAGTTTTTGTTATTTACTATTTAATATAATTTTAATTAAAAAATATTGTAAATTACTATTTAACGTTGAAAAATGGAAATTAAAAATGTACACTCTCCTCACAAAAAAAAAAAAGAGTACACTCTCGCTATCTCTGTGGCAACTTGTAATATTATTATTAATGTTTTGCAATAAAATTATCACTGTTTATGAAATGAAGTATTATTGATATACTCCATTATCATTAAAGATTTTAATATTCTTATCGATGCTTTATGATTACATGATTAGCAATTTTAGATAAATTGTTAACAATTTACAGTTTTTTCATCCGTGTTTATGAATGAATTATTAAAGTTAATGATACATCATAATTAACGGTTTGAATAACACTGTTATTGATTCACAATATCTGTATTAACGATCCATATTTTCATGTCATGCTCATAATACTAGCCAATCATGACCTCTTACAATGACTTCAATGACATGATTAATATTTTGTGATCAATTGATATCGCTTTACCTCGTTGTTCTCAACGTTCATAAAAATGCAACACTTATTTTCACCATCATTGATATTTGTGACATATTGCACCTATGATTTAGCCAAGCAAAACATTAGTTCATGGAGATGAAAAATATTAATCATGCAAACCAACATTCGCACCCTAACACTAAATCGTTAATAACAACAAAGCATATCGTTCAAAATAATATTGTATTTCGTTCAAAACAAATTAAAGTATGAATAATGTTCGGACTCAATGGTAAGTATCAAATACTATCCAAAACGTTGTATTTCGTTCATATGAATGTCGTATTTCATTTAAAACTAAAATAAAAAGTGTTAACACTGATAGGATTTGACATTAAAAATGACATCAATCTAATCCATTTGATCGAAACAAGGAGGGGATGGAAGGGAAGGAAATTTCGATTAAATTATCTTCGTGGGGGAGGGAAAATAAAGATACTTGAAGGAATAATGGTTTTGAGGGAGTAACACAAACAAAGTGGTTTGGAAATTCTCCTTTGTTCTTAAGTTCATAGTTATAAAAAGAGAAGATTCAACCTATATCTGCTTGGATAGAAGGTGGAAGGGAAAAAGCTGCCTGGAGAAGCGGATGAAAAAGTCCGAGAACCCTAGGGAGTAAGCAAGAAAATGAGATTTAGGCCAAATCTCAAATGTCTTTTTTTTTTGCCTGTGTACACATGGAGCCCTGCTTACTCTCCGTATGAGGATACAAGAATTAATAATAGGTCCGATTTATTGAAACTAGCTAACTATTACATGATAAAATTTACGAAACAAGTTGTACTTATAAAATTTGTCCTAAATATCCTCACGAACTTAGGGGTTGGGATCAATCTCATCGCGCCTGGTATTTGCTCAATCGCAAATTCTTAATGGCACTGAATATACAAGTGCATGGTATATGTTCCGTTCGAGATCGAGGCGATGAATAAGATTGGTTTTCCATCTTTTATGACGCTTTAGGGTATGTTTAGTTTCAGTCACTGGGAAGTGGTACGTAATCCATGATTTATGCACTCTTTCATAACTAAATATGAATTTTTAAATTTGAGGCACAGAAAATTTAGATCTAGCGGATGAGATTATATTTTTTTATATTTTTTCTAGTTTTCTTAATTAGTTCTTGTTTTATTCGTTCTAACTTGGATCAAATTTTTTGCACAGAAGGAGCGAATTCGTTGTGATCTACAAAATCAGATCCATTTTCAATATATTTAGACAAAAAAATTTCATACGACTCATTACCACCTTGGTACCACCCCATACCACCATCATTTTTAACTCAAATTCTGAATTATTTTGCACAGATGGAACAAAATCTTCTTGATCTATTGAATCTACAAATTTCTGGGGGGGGGGGATACAGGCACCCCGGTATTGGGGTGGTAATTAGTGGTACATAATGATGAATGTAGTAAATGAAAGTTCATATATTCCTATTATTATCTATTTCAACCATCCTACACTATGTTATGTTCATACCACCATGACATACTTCCGTACCACGTGCTATGATCTTATGTAGTACTATACAGTACCACCATAGTATAGACTGATACTAAATGTCTCAATTTTTGTTCCAAAAATAAATCTAAATTAATATAATTTTGAAGAGCAAAATTTATCTGATTTATCTGTGTAAAAAGATTTAAATTCTGACTTAAAGCATGAAAAATTGGCAAGTTATAAATGATTATTGACCATAAGGTTATGCACCTAATTCATTCCTAGAAGGTTTGCACATCTTTTTGTATTGGGTGGGATAATGATGTGGATTTATCTGTGTAGATGTCTCAAATTTTTTTTCCAAAAGTATATCTAAATGAATATAATTTTGAAGAGCAAAATTTATCTGATTTATCCGTGTAAAAAGATTTAAATTCTGACTTAAAGCATAAAAAATTGACAATTTATAAATGATTATTGACGACAAGATTATGCACCTAATCCATTCCTAGAAGGTTTGCACATCTTTTTGTATTGGGTGGGATAATGATGTGGATTTTATCTTTTGGAGGTTAGGAGACAATATTAAGTCATGTCGTGGAAGTAGGGATGGCAATGGGGCGGGTTTGCCTAAACCATCCCCATTCTCATCCCTATCTTCAAATACCCAAATCCATACCCGCCCCATACCCATGCGGGGGAATGTTTTGCAAACCCATCCCCGTACCCGTGGGTTTCGGGTACCCATGGGTAATACCCATCCCCGTACATCCAACATTGTTATACCTAAAACTTACAAAAAAAAGTTTTACTTATAACCATACACAAACCTATTATATCAGGAAGTCAACAAAACACTGTCATTTTCTAAATACGATTCAAAGAATATGATCCTAAAACATCCATTAATACATGATATAGACTACAATATTTTTTAAATTATTATGCTCTAACTCTTGATACATTTACTAAGTAATAATTAACGAACATAATCTTGTTGACAAGGGGGAAAGTGAAAGAGTGGAAGGAGAATTGAGAGAAATGAATTAGGTTTTGATTAAGGTGGTTACTCAATTGCATTTCTACTATTTATTCTCTCGAGTTATCATCATCATCATCATCGATAGATTATAATTTAATCCACATATTTTTTGATATGTGAAGAAATTCTCTTGGTGGGGCGGGTATGGGTATGGGGCGGGGGAGGCTAAAACCATACCCGCCCCATACCCATCAAACTTTTTGCGGGTTTTACCCATACCCGCCCCATGCCCCCATACCCGGTCAAAGCGGGGATTTCCCGCGTTGACTGGGTCGGGGGCGGTCGGGTACCCGCTGCCATGGGTTTGATTGCCATCCCTACGTGAAAGGATTTAAGGATGTGGGTCTTGAAGTTAAACATCGTAATTGGTTGACATCGTCCAGTCAAACATTACATGTTTAGGCTTTCTCAAAACCTAAGTGTAGGAAAGTTACGCCAGTGAAAAGAAAGAAAATACGTAAATATTGATACGAGCATGGATTGCCTCTTAATCAAGTTAGAAATACTTGCCAACGAAACCAACTCAAAACAACATTCAACTATGGATTTTTGGCTAAGGCATGGTACCGTTTTTGGTAGCCTACTTTGTAAGACTCTTCCTCTCAAGTGGCTCGTTGAAAATGGGAGTACAAGGCCTCATCTTGAACTCCAAGTGTTGCTGGACATGCTGGTGTGCTTTGAAGCTCGAAGGGAAGCCGGGAAGCACAGTTTCAAGGTCCGACAAGATGGTAGCTCAGTGCTGGAAAAATGGCAGGAATTGCCTAAGTATCAAACTGTGAGCAGCATAGCTACTTTGAAGGCTCACTCCGGGAAGATGGTGCCGAATCAAGAGAGAAGCTTCAGGCCACATGAAACTACATATTTCCTAGTACAGAAACAAGGAGTTGGGTGATCGATTTCATACCCAGAAGACCTCGAACGGGGACGCTGAAGATAGTATCAAGGCTGTTTGTTTTCTTGCATTTTAAGTTTCCATGTTGTGCTAGTATTAGGACTGTTTTGGGTTTCCCTGTTTCTCTCGACTTTCCTTGTTGTTTTAGGTTTATTGTTAGTTCTATTTAAACTCAAAAGGGGACTTGTAATCGTGGATAGCAATGAATTGAAGTTTTAACCCTAAAAACTAAGTTTCAACAGCTTGTTTTTGGTTGAGAGCTTGGCCGAGACAACCAAGCTCGATTGAAGCCCTTGTATCGGTCAAAAACCACATTGATCGTGGGCGGGCATCGACGTATAGTTGCTGAGCCTTCCTCCAGGTGAAGGATTGCACACAACTTCCACCCAACCTTGTTCTTCCTCATCGGCAGAACACCAAATCCAGTTCCGACGAGCTCAACGCAAGGGAAGAGCTTGACTTGTAGCTCTTATTGTCGAAAAATCAAATTAAAACCTACTTGAGGGTTTATCAAGTGGTAATCAGAGCCCGGTTCACCTCAGTGGACAGGACGGAGGGCGACATTGTGAGAACGACGATTTGGACGAGGTCCAAAGGTCCGGTTGAACAAGACCCTGCT